CCTCAGTGATAAAGCATTTCCTATATTTCTAAGAGCTGCCTGGCCTGCCTCTCAATTACTACAATCATCCTTCTTTCCTTTGGCTCGCTTAAACATATCTTAACATTCAGACACTGGTCTGCCCAGATATCACTTGCCTAACCCTTTGCTTTGACCACGTCAGTCTTTTGCCAGTTCCCTCTTGAAGCCTCAAATGGAAGTGGGAATGGAAAACAGAGACAGGCCTTTGAAGTTTAGCATTACCTACTGAGTTCTTCCTGTACATTTTCAGTATACTGATTCCTGCCAGCAATTGCCCTACGAAGTCAGGCATCCAACCACTGATGCCAAACAAGGCCACATTTTCTTCTTTCCATTCTGCCCTTCTCCTTCCTGGTTGGAAATCATCATTAACCTCTGCAAGGCTCTTTCTTTTTGCTCTTCAATACCTTTCTTAGAAAGGATTCAACCCACAGAACACAGTCGCTAATCCATGCATTGGTGCTGCTGCCTCTTAATGCTGCTTTGCTAGGGCAAGGATTGCCTTTTTTGTTCCACCCACAGTACCCAGCACAAAAAGATGGGATCTGTGAGAGGCATTCCTACAGCAAAACTATTAGGTGATGAAGAGAGGAGGCTTTGGTGCTTTTAGCCTCCTTTCCCCAGCAGAATTGTGCTGAGTGAGAACAGCTGCAGAAAGGACACAGCTACATAGGTAGTTTTATCATCAGAAACTCGAAGCACCTCAGACAGGAATTAAAAAATAACCTTCATTCCTACCTGAAAATAAGACACTAGGACTGTGTGTAAACCCTGGGAGAGATCTTTGCATTAGGTTACATTTAGATGTTTGGGTTTCTCATTTGTCTAGAAACATGGTAAGATTGTAAACTCCATAGAAATTAATGGGGCTGGCCCATCACACATCTGCAAAACTACCTTCCCACTTAATACCAGTGAGCAAGAGGATAATGACTTTTAATTGAGATCTGAGATTCTCAGATGCTGACAGTACATAACTACATGCACTAGAAAGGCAGAGCCTGATGGGAACCAGAGTAAGAAAGGAGGTAGGATTTTCCAGCTACCAGTGACTGATAAAAAAAGATGATCAGATTTCCTGGGATCCCCTCCCAGCCATAGCCTGACCTTGAGAACCTACTCAACGTAGCCAGTACATCTGTGCATTCCAGATGCAACTGTTCCATCAACAGAAATTATCAGGGCACTGTTCAAAGAAGTTCAAGGGCTCAGACTAATCTCTAAACTGAACTTAAACAAGCTGAAACACCAACATTTCTGAGCTGCTTTATTAAACAAAAGCGCAGATGGCTAACTCTCCTGCAACTCTGACCTTGAAAACAAAACTAATTCCAGGCTTATTTACCCATCCCTTTCCCAGTGACTTAATGCACTTACGTGGTGTGTTGTGAAATCATAAATTCTTTGGGGAACTCTCTAAGCTTCCTTTAATTTTGGAATTAAGTTCTTACTCTGTGAAAATCAACAGAGTCAAGAAGTATTTGAGCTGACTGCACTCTGAAATCAAAAATGAGCTATAGCATTCACTATAAAAGCATGACGTTTACATTGTCTGGGGTCATTTTTATACAACTGAGACCTCTGCCACTGATCTGTGGAGCAACCTCAGACATCTGCCTTCACTGAGTCTGCTGCTTGTCAGGGAGAACCATTTCTTACCTTCTTATGCAGGAGCCACCCTGATCCAGGTTGCACTCTTTAAATCATTCAGTAATGCGTGGAGATTCAAGCTGCAGAGGCACACAGTTCTCTTCTTAATCTGTTTTGACTCATCACTTTTTAAGGGTAAGCAGTGGAAAGTGGGAACTGAAATTCAGTCCCAGCATAAGGATCTAAAGGAACTCATAAATCTGAGCAACACATTTCAAAGGGTTATTAGTGAAAATGAAATGTATTATTGCAAGAACTTTCTTCCAGTGAATGCTCTGCAAGTGCAGAGCCCATATAGCTGAGGGCAGGGACTGGGTGTGGGAAAGGAAGAATGTCCAGAATAGCCTCAGAGAACAAATTTCATCCCAAAGAATAGAAAAGGATACACACATCCATAAAGTTATCTCTTCTCCACCTCATCATCACAGTTTTAAAGTGAATAATTAAGTTGATGACATAATTCTATTACCAACTATCATAATGATTCATATTGCCAGACTGCCCCTTTTCCAGTGCTCTCTACCACCCACTTACTGCCTTCCACTTTGTTGATTGATGGCTTTTTGGATCAAGGACTGTCTTTAGGGTTATGTCTGTGCCATGAGCCTGTGGTTCAAGGATGAAGCCCTATGGGAATAGCTCATCCTGCCTGACTCTCTGCGGGGTTCAGCACATAGCACCACCTTCCTGTGCTTCCTTGTCTTCCTTCTCCTTCTGCAAAATGACCAGAAAACCTTCTTGTGCAGAAAGAGTTATGCAAGGACTAGGCATCAGTAGTAGTAAGTTACTCATGACCATGTTCATTCCCCATGAGCCACACAAGGCTAGGAAAGAGAGCATAATGTGTCCTTGCCAGGACAAAATAACTAGTCCTGATCAGATAGTTGAGAACTCTCAGTAGAGTTTTAATGAGTCCTATTGCTATATCTAAAATGAAAAAGTCCTACCAATCATATTTATTAATACATCTTGCAAGTGTTCCAGACTTTTTGAGAGAAATAAAAACTGACACAAATAGAGTTTTGATTTAAATAGGATGATTTAGCAAATACTCTAAGAAAGAAACACTTCTAAGCTACTGTGATAATTTAAACTATAATTAAGATACTAAAATATGGCTTGAAAAGAATCTTAGTGGTAACACACATGTAGGGAAATATATTGGAAGGAAATGAGGGAAGCAAAGAGAAGATGAAGCAGAGAGGGACATCTGTGGTCATGCAATCTGAACTTCTTAAGCTCTCTTCTACAGCAGCAGGTGCTGCCACTTGATGTCCAGCACCAAGGATGGGTGAAACTAAATTAGTCTGGTTTATGACATGCTTATAGTCCTATTTTATCCAGAATAAAATGATCTTTACGTCACCATGTGGCACAATGAGGGAGGGAATTTATCCAGACAGTATTACAGAATTTCTACATATTTCCAAGTGGGTGCTGTAAATTCTTTTCTGACAGCAGACAGGTGATAGACTAGTCAGTCCTTAACTATTAGGCAACAAATCTTTCCTTCATGATGGCAGTTTCACAAGGGATGGAGAAGAAGGTGTGCATGTAAAGGGTGAAAACACTGGATTTTCTTCTTTGTTAGATCAATTCTCTCCATATGTTAAACAAAGGGAGAAGAAATAACCTCTGTTTTAATACAGTAAATAAACCAACCAACAAATAAGTGCTTTGGATTCTGCAAGATCCTTTGTAAATGCGATGCATAAATGAACGTAGCATTTTAAGCATACCAGAGTTGAAGATCCCCATCCTCCTCAGACTAGTCTTTTTCCATTTTAGCATGAACATTCATGCTCCTGTATATTCTTTTTCACCCTTCCCTAAGGTCCTCCTTATCCAATCATTTTAGCATAATGATGATAATTACAGCCAAGTCATGGAATGAAAATAGAAGGCGGATAGTAAGATGGTCCTGGACGTCATCTGGGTGCAAGTGAAGCATGAGTATCTAATTCATTAAGGGAGCAGGAGGATTAGGACGGTGCTGAGCATCTATTCTATTTAATTTGACATTCCATTAATTTACTCTCTCAACAGACAGGACAGGGGGTGCAACGTAATTATAGCTCAGAATCTGAAAACTCTGGCATGTTTGAAGACTTAGTTTGGTGGCAGTTGGCTGGGGGAAGATAGCAAAAGAGATCAGCAAACTTTGTGCTCACTACACATATTACACTTCAGTAATAAGATGCATGTGGGAATGGTGGAACTCACCTTGGAGGTTAAGGACACTGCCTCTGTGTAGCAAATGACTGTCCAAAAGTCTTCAGAGTAGGAACTTCCAAGGATGTTTCACAAGATGAATCTCTTTTGTATCGGACATAACAACTGCTTTAAAACTGGGATGGAAGATGCATGATCCTAATTTTCTTCTTGGAATGAACAGCATTGCTGAAAATGGAAACCCCTCTTCCCAGCAAGCCTCTTTTCTCACATAGCTACTCAAACAGTCATAGTGATTCACAGATCAAATTTTACTGTGAACAAATGTTCAACAGCAGCAAATCCACAGGCCCTGCAGTTTTTACATGCATTCAGCCTGAGCAGGCAATGTGCATGTCCTGCCTGCACCTTCGAACTGCTGCTCTGGAACATGCAGGACACCGTGTTTTCACAGAAGCTCTTGGGAAAAAGAAATACAGAAAAATATCTCCACCCTCACCTCCAGGCATCAAAATAAATGGTCAGATTTTTCAAGATCTCTCAAAACACATCAGCAACTGGGGAATCTGAGAATTTGAAAAAGCATCTCCAGTGCTTTATAACACTAAACATGTCTCCCACTCAAGCTCATATCTCACCTTGAAGCCATATTGGATTTTATTTCTTTGGTAGAGAAGTAGAGATGTGAAAAGAGATGTAACAGGAAATCCTACTAATCGGTTTCTCACAGAAAAAGGGACATCATGATACCACAGTGATTCAAACTATTGGATACCACTGGCTATCACAGACGCAGCCTTAGAGAAGCTGACTCATTAAAAATGACAGAAGTCACAGTACCTAGACACTTAAATAAACTTAGGATGTACAAACAGACAGACCTTTTTACTCTATTTCATTCAATTTAATTAGCTAGGGCTGGCAGCCAGATGGACAGTATTAGAGACAGGCACCCTGAGTTAAATCATACAGCAGAGCATCAGGAACTTGTTGTCACCATCCGTCACACCCAGTATTTGTGGGAGACAGAGACCTGCTGCATTCAGATTGTAGCCCCCCACGATGCAATGAAGAGAAGTGACTGTTCCCTTTGGTCCTGCAATATATTTAAGGGCCTGATGGAACCGAATCAAGATATCCGAAGAGGTAAAACTCACCTGGCAGATGAAACCAGTGGATGAGCACTGCCGAACCCAGAGACTAAATTTCCTCTTTTTCCTCTTGCGCAGCTCCCTCTCTGTGCAAGTGGCAATGAAGACAGGATCTTCATCAATCAGGGGTTCATGTAGTACCTGAAATTGGCAAGAAAGGGGAAGAGGGGGAGGGAGGGAGAAACAGAATGGTGTATGATTGCAGAAAAAGTAAAAATGGAGCTTCAAATTCTTCCAAGGAAACACAATCCTTGCATTTTGTTTGTGTGCATCACTTCATATGAAGGAGCAAACCCACTGTCTTTCAATGCTATCCAACAAAATACCATCCAACAAAAACCAAAGCCTGGCCAAGCACAGTCCATGGTGGATGGCTGCCCTACATGTGGTTTGCAAACACTGCAAGGCATGGCGCTCACTTCTCACCAGCAGCTACTGTTTAACATCCCTCCAAAACGTGGCCTCTACCTGCCACTATCAGCTACAGTTCAATATCCCTCCAAAATGAGGCAGGGGATAGGATGGGATGTGGAGATTGTTAGGAGCATCCTGCTCCAAGCTTCAGCATCAGCTTCATTTTGTTTGGCAGAACATCTTCCACCCAAACACCCCCCATAATACTTTGTGAGGTATGCTCCTTGGTTACAGAAAAGGAAATCACACAGCAAAGAGAGAGAGAAGTTAAGGAAGAAAAAGGATATTTTCTACTGCCGCTTAAGGAAGTGTTGAAGAGACAGAAAACATTTTTTCCTGGTGGCAGCAGCTTCAGGAAAGCCTCTCTTGCCTCAGGAGCTGAAAAATTTGACAAAAGGAGGCAGAAAGATAAAGGACCAGAGGCAGTAATAGAAAAAGACAAGGCAGGCTGGACCAAGTAATGAAAATCTGTGAAAGTGAAGCAATTTCTGCATTCTCCATCCAGATGTTATAAGTGGTTCCCTGTTCCTTAGAGCTGTTTTGTTACATTTCTCTCCATTAATCCTGTAGCAAAGTCATTCAAGTTTTACACAACAGAGCACACCTATAGGAAAACACTATTACCTCCTTGCAGCTCTTAGGTAGCTATGCATGACACATACATCCCTGTGAGTTGTTCAGCAAGACACCTGTAAGCGTAAAAATGCTTGGGAACTGTTGAAAGGTCTCAGCTAATGAATGCTGACAGAATTCAGACACCTACATCTACATCAGAGCAAGCCACTGCAGGCTCCTGCCCTATTAGCCGAGGTGAAAGAAGCGCCAGCAGGCCAGAACTCATGCTCTTTTAAAGAAATGTAAGTCAGACAGGTCATGAGCTAAAGGAGCCCATTCTTTTCCAGTGACATAACCCCAGAATCTAGACTCAGATACAGGTATCCAAAATGCAGAGGCTCACACTCTCAAACCAAGCCTTTCCACTCCTGCATGTGTGCTACTTTTGTGTAGACCTGCATGCAGCCCATGGCGGAAATAAGAACAAAGCTGCATTAAGCCTGGGAGTGATGCTTATAGGAGAGATGTGGTGGGTAAGCAGTTAAGCACCAGTGATGAGCAGCTGCTGGCCTCCTGAATACAAGATGTTTGGTTGAACATCACTCTGTCAGCCCAAAATAGGCACCCGTGCCCTCCCCATGCAGTAGCGGCTGCACACTTTCATTTATATGCACTCCAGTTCTTAACAACTCATAAAACATTCACAAGACCATCTGAAAGCACTCTTGTGAAATGTTCAAATTATGCACCAAAATGCAGATGCAAGCAAGGAGAACTGCACACAAAGCTATTTGTTCTTAAGGCTGCAGCTGCCCTGTTTCGCCACTGGAGCCAACCCCTCTTTCTCTCTCAAGGTCCACACAAAAACACCACTCTTTTTTTCTGAAGACCACCTGGGGCATTTCATACTTTCACCTCAGGGAATTCTGACAGCGTTTTGCAAATATTAAACATGCCCTCATTCACTTTTGCCCTTCAGTCTCTTCTGTGCAAAGGGAAGGACCTTGGGAGGGGGTTGGACACACCAGTAAGAATTCCTCAGCTTCTGGAAAGGCCCTCCTACCTGCCAAATCCCTCTGAGTGATGTGGTTCAACTGTTATAAACTCCCCTGCTGTAGGATGGAAAGCAACAGAAAGAAAAGGGTGTACAAGCATCATTTGAGGACATTTTTTTACTCTCTGTCATTAGTTAGCTCCCTCCTCTGCACCACAGCATCAGCTTTCCTCACAGCAGCTCTACTGCATCCTGCTTACCCTTCACACTCTTTCTGTCTTTCAGGACACAGTAAGGCCTGTCAGCCTTAAATTTAGAAAGCAAATCTGAATTTTGAAAACATCTCCCTATCTTCCTCTTCTCCCTGCACATGCTCAGCACTGCCTTCCTCAAGAACCCAGAGCTTCCCCACCTTTACACTATCCCAAATGTTTAAGTCATTCCCATTTCTCTGTAAGATGACTAATGCTCCACTGAAGTCCCTACTGAACTGCTGGGAAGAGGGAACAAAAATGGAAACAGAGCAGGACAAGATTTGCTGTTGCTGCTAAGGGGAAATGCGGACAGGCAGGGAAACTGAAATGAAAACACTAGAGCTTGCCCTTGTTTTCTCCCAAGAGGGTAGAGAGAAGTGTTATCACCCCCTTCATGTGCAATCACTGCTTCAACAACTGTAAAGGACTTTGCAAGCAAGGTACTGCATGGGTTGTGCGTCCTGCTAGAACAGCTGATCCCCAACTCATTTTCAAAGGGGGCAATTTGTTGCTTCTGGCATCGACATGGTTTTCTTATGGCAAGAGTTAGCCTTGTTGCCACTGGCTGTTCCTATCAGCTTGTTCACCTTCCTCTATTCTCAGTGTCCTTGCTCTTCCTGTAACCTCAAATCCACCTCTTCGCCAAATTACCATGCAGAGTGTTATTTGCTCCTTCCCCATTTCCCATTCTTGCTGTTGCTGCAATACCTGCTTTTCCAGTAGTGAGCATACTATCCCCATGGCATATTCTTTCCTGCTTCTCATCTTCTTTGATAGAAATCTACTTTCACGCTTAATTGACTCCTACACGTATTCCTTGCTGCCTCTTCACCATCTTGACTCACTTTCCAAGCCCTCCCCTCTTATTTTCACTTCCTTTGATGCAAGATATCTTGCAGATTTCTACATAGAATTATCCCCATTTTCTTCTCTAAAGTCCCCAGTTTTGTTCAGATCTAAGCAGCTCCTCATCTAGCTGCTTCACTCCCCCACAGCTATGCCACTGGTTTTATGGCTCGTTTTCTTTCCCTCTCTTCTTTATAGCCATCCTCATCTCTGCTAGATATTCTTGCCAAGCTTTCACTCTTTGTTTTCCCCTCAATATGTACATGCATTCTAAGTGTTGGAGAGCAAGACTCCAAGATAGGACTCCAGCAATTGCTCCATCCCACAACATCTTTCATTCACTGAATGAAACAGCTAGCCACTGTCAGGACTGCCTTTCTCCATTTTAGATCATCTCCAAAGCTCCTTCCACTCCACAATTCTACCCATCCTGGTCTCACCACAGCCCAAATAAGCTTGTAGACAAAGTCCAGAGCCAGTAACTCTTTTGTACTTGGACTTCCTAGACTCCATTTACTGAGATAATGCACCAAGATGTGTTTGAGATATCTCATCTTCTCTTAGCTCCATTGTCATCCCCAATAGAGGCTGTCTGTTCAGCCTGTCTCCTGGAGAAACTGCCTCAGCTTGCTTTGTCTCTGGCTTTTGGTGGGCACCATCCAGTTGCAAACAGAATCCCCTGGGTATCTGCACCTCTATGCACAGATTCAGCCATTGCTTCTGCAACAGTAGCTTGTCCTTCTGCCTCTTTGCTCCAATGCTCCTCCTGTCTAAACTGAATTCTCTGCTAGTATCTGACATCTCAACTTGCATATCTAGCTGTCAGTTCTGACTCTATTATGCTGCGCTTGAGAGCATCTTCCTCTCCTTAAGGTAACCCCTTAACTCCTTTTTTGGTCACTGCAGACATCCCTCTCCTGCTGCAGATCTCACTGCCCAGTGAATCTGCATGTTAGCCTTTACCTTCAACTCCTCACAAGGTCTTCTGAGCCAGTCAGTGCCTGTATTTTTCATGCTTTCTGAGTAACAGCTCCACAATGTTACTCATTTTAGAGTAACAACCCACTCACCCAGTCATGTTTTCATCCAAGCCCACAGCATTCCCACAGCAGTTTTCCTTCTGGCTTCAACATAAGGCAACCTTGCTCTACAGATAAAATAGCTGGAAAGCTATTCTCCTTGTCCATCACACTGGCCACACCACTTTTCTTGATTTCTCTGATAGAGCTTCTTAAATATGTCAGATATACTCTTCACTTTCAAAGTCCTGTTTGGCCTATCCACATATCACTGATCCTCTTTCCCATAATTCAAAAGTTAACTCTCAACTCTGATGGAGCCATGATTTCATGCTCCTCTGCCCATTTGTTCAGTCTTTAATCAACTTCCTTTAAAGAAAAAACAAGAAAAAAAAAAGTTTTTTACAGCACTCCATTACCATTAGGCAATTTAAAAATAGCCATAAAGGTTCATCATTTTCTGCTGTCAAACTCTCCCTAAGAACTGGCTTCACCAGAGGATCAACTGGCCAACAGCTGTGGGACATCAGCAATTTACCTGGCTATACAATATTTTTATTGCTCTTCAGCTTGCTCCATGTCTTTTACTTGGCTGATATCCTCTGAATACTTACATATTTGTATTACACTCTCGGAATCCCTAAGACAGAACAGTCCTGGTTTGGCTCAACACCCTTACTCACAAAGAATCATTTTGACAACAAGAAGACTGAGATGTAGACTTGAACCAGTCTTCTAATTCAGAAATGCCCAATACCAAACTACATCTAATCATGAGGACACAAAAGACCTATGAGTTGATCAGCCTGGTTCTGCACCTGTATGTTTTCAGAGAAGCTGTTGCCTAATGATGTGAGTTGATTTGGAAGAACGATGATGAAACTGCTGAGCTATACTCTGGTACCACTGAGAGTAAGTCACAAATCAGCCCCCTATTAAATGGCTGAACTTTAGCATCATGCGCTTAGATCAAGAGGTTGGAGTTATGTCTCTCTTTTTGCCAGGGAGTTCACTCCTGCCTGAGGTAAGGACTTAAGCCAGCTGTTCCCACATGATATTTCACTGGGCAGATGCAGAACTGTTTGGTTCTAAGATGCCAAAGAGAAGGTACTTTGGAAGGAGAATGAAGAGGAAAGTTCCCGGAGTTGTGCTCCTGACCTCTCCCACGCAAGTCAGGGAGAGCCAAAGACAGCAGTCCTGTCTAGTCGCATCCTGCTGACAAGCATATAACTACTCAGCAGGCACAGAAGGATATTTGAGCAGTGATGTTATTTTCCTGAGCTCCTCTGGTTTCTGGAATTGAGTGTATACCCTTGGCAGGTGAGTACCCTTGAATCTGTTGCAGCACAACTCCTGAGCTCAGGCAGGGCCTCCTCCCTGTCTCCAGGCTTCCACTTGTAAGCCAACAGCACATCTACAAAGCTAAGCAGCAAAGAGACAACACCAATTCCAGGTACAGACCCAAAACCCCACATCTTGTTGCTCAGGTAGAAGCAGCAGTAACTTATACAGAAGATGTCACGAAGGGATAGGATGCAGAGAATATTCCTGTCCTTCCTACCCAATCTAGGTCAGGACATTTTTTTACTTTGCAAATTGAAGCAAGTGCTCTGATATACAATTATAATGTTCTGAGCTTTCAATACCTTCACAAGCTGGAGAGTAATTATTTCCTTTTGTTTGCTCAGTATATTTAGCAAAATAATTACAATTCACTAGACTGTTTTCTCTGTTTTGGTATATCGGCATAGTTCTCTCTCTCCCTCTGTTTCCTTTCCTAGAAGCTATGGTGTCATTTTTGCATGTCTTTTTTTTTTTTGGGGGGGGGGGGAGGAGGGTTACACATGAGAAAAGAACCCTAAATCGTTTCTGACAGAAATTCCACTTGAATCTTTTCTAATTCTCCAGAAAGAAAAGATCCACTCTGCAGAAGAAATAAATGTGAAGGCAGATGTTGCATTATCTGCTGGATGCAGACTTTCTGCTCTGTCCATAAAAGCCAGTTAAACATGGCATCTTACTAACCCATGCTCTGTAAATCCACACTGCCAGCGGAGGATAGTCAGTGACAAGTCTACCTACAAGCCCTAGCCGCTTTGTTGCATTCAACAGCGAAGAGCCCAAGTTATTCCTCTGCTTGATGCCACTTACAAGATGTTAACCTAAAGCTTAAACATAGATTTCGGCTCAGGCACAAGCCACCCGGATACCACAAGTCTCATGTTTCAGACACAGGTGTACCTTAAGGAACAAATCCATTTTGAACGTGGGATTCTAGGTATCACTGATTACAGAAACCTGGGCCCCTCTTCCCAAAACGCTTTCAGAGGCTGCACAACCGAAGGCTCCTCTGAATGGGTCTTTCCCTTGTCTTTTCCCCTTGTTTCTGTGCAACTGGGTTATTATTTTTTAACTATTTCTCACTGGGCCTGACCTTCCAAGTTTGATGTTTACTGCAGTCCACTAATCTGTACTCAAGACAATTTCCAGGGAGAAACCTTTCCTGCTGTTTTGACCAGATGGGGTCCATGCCTCTTGAGAGAGGAAGTATGCAGCCCTGCCTGATGGCACCCAGGAGGACATTAGGCCTAGAACATCCCCCAGCAGTGCTGGGGATGATGCTACACTAGAATATTAACAACAGATTCAAAACCTCTTTCTTTCTCACAGTTATTTTTGAAGCTGCATTTTAGTGCTTTTTGCTCCTCTCAGTACCACTGAAATGTGCTGTAGAGGAATCACTGATGTAAACACTGACAAGGAAGCAGAGAAGTAGAGGGGAAGAAGAGAACTGGGCTGTCACTACCTCTTTCCCCTCCTTTTATTTTTTTTTAATTTAAAGTAGCATCACCTTACCAAGCTCAGCACAAGCATACATTTTGCTTGTGGAGATTTAGATGTTTGGCCATTGCAAAAGGATGCTACGATTTTGTCAATTCAGTTCTCAAACCTTGCTCGGGAGGGAGGAAGGGAGAAAGGATATACATGCAAATCAAATTTTATCCTTTAATGGATTTGCACTCACAGCAGGTCCCACAGCACACCATTATAAGCATTTACATTAGACACAATGATCACATTTCTGAAGCCTTTATCTTCTGCCGATTCAAGACAGTGGCCATAAGGATTAGATTTCACATCTTTATGAGAGCTCAGTCCCAACAATATTGTGTCTCTCACAATATTGTTTTGTCTTGATGGAAATGCACCTTGCTGGCATGGCCTAGTGAGAACATTCCTCCCTCCCTCCTTCTCTACCATAACAGCTTCTTAGACAACTGTGTTGTCCTCAATTACACAGATATGATTGCTATTGTCTATGAAACAGAAAAAACTGTAATCATTCCCAATTTATTCTAGGCACACTTCAATGGATGTGATGCATCTTCATTAATTTTGTGCAGTGGGCAAAAATATGATGCCTCAGAGGGGAAGTAGAAATAAAAAGAAGATGATGGACACAACACCCTTTCCAAATGTCTAAGTGAAATCTTTATATTCTGGTAATGGAGTTGATGGAAAAATTATTTCAAGCAGTAATGTATTTCATGCTTATTCCTTTTTTCATTCCAGACTTCTGAACGTGACCAGCAGCAACAGCTCCAAAAGGAGATAATTTATACTGGAACAAAGTTTAAATTGTGTCTGAGAATATTAAGAAAAGATTTCTTTGCACTTTAAAAATAAAAAATTGATCAACTGTACGCCTGTAGTCAGACAATCACCACCTACATAAGTTTCTATATTTAGTTCCTTACATTATCTGCCCAGTCTAAGGAACAGTCTCCCTAGAGAATGGCATCCTTCTGACCCCTAATTGTACTTGGAAATGAAAATTCCCTGGAGTCAATGTTTGCATTTATTCTTGGTAATCTAGAAGTATTTCCAGTTTCCTGGCACTTTGGTTGCAAGGCCATACCTCAGTAAGTTTTTCCATAGAAGCATTACCCATCATGAAAAAACAGGACTGATACAAGGCACAGGCAGTGCTGCTGAGGGCAGCTGCCAACTGCAGCAAGCAAAGGCACCTGCCCTGCTGCTTATTTTCTCTTTTCCCTACCGTGAGGGGAAGGCTATGGTGCTGGACCATACCACAGGCATTGACTGCTAAGGTCAGGGATGCTCACTCCTAGCAAACTCAGCTCCTGCATCCAACCCTCAGCCTGCATCAGGAGCAGTGACAGGCTTTCCCTCCAGCCCATTTGTACCAGCTCTGCCCTTTCCATTCTCCCTCAGAGGAGCAGCCTTCAACTTCCCGTCCTCAGGATAGCAAAACCTAGTGGTGCCAACCTCACCAAGAAGTGTCCAGGCTTGTTGAGACCACCAAAGCAAACAGCCCCAGCTGAGAGTTCATCATTCTTACTGAAACATGCCAGGTACCTGAGTACTCGCATAGGACAGTGGTGCTTTTTCTCATGTTTCATGGAGGCACTACAGCACAGCTTCACACTGTTGAAGCCTCACCTCTTTCTTCGGGTAGGCGAGCTCTGAACTTTCAGTCTTAGCACGACAACCTAAAGCACGTAGGTTAGATATTCCTTGCCAATGGGTTAACTCTCACCTGGGCTTGCGAAGGCCTAAAAGCAGAGTCGAAGCCACTCTGCAGAGAGTCCAGAAAAGGCTGGATTTTGTAGAGGCCATGTGTTGTCTGGCTCGAACGGAAGGCCACAATATGGAAGTACTTCAGGATCTTCTCAAACCGTGTTTGTGTCATGATAAGTGCAATGCTCTTGTTGCTGTAGAAGCCGCTGCTCCAGATGCTGAGAACAGACTCACAGTGGTGGATGCTGGTTGATATCATGTAGCCTAAGAAGGCTTTCATTTCCGTCAAGGTGACATCAATCCAGGCATCGTCACTACCGAACCTCTCCTGGTACTTCTTAGCATACATGTTGGTTTGGACCACCATATTCTTTAGTACATTGTCAGGGACAAAGAGCTGAAAAAAGTCCATGGCACTGGCTGTTAAGGGCATTTTTCGGGTTGGACCTAGGACAAAAGCAAGAAGGGAAGGTAAGCTCACTCCTGATCATCACCAGCATCATGTCTAACATCAGCAATTTAAAGCAAGATTATAGAATCATAGAATAGTTAGAGTTGGAACGTACCTTAAGATCATCAAGTTCCAACCCCCTGCCATGGGCAGGGACACCTCACACTAAACCATGACACCCAAGGCTTCATCCAACCTGGCCTTGAACACCGCCAGGGATAGAGCACTCACAACCTCCCTGGGCAACCCATTCCAGAAAACAAGGCCAAAGTGATGGAACGTCAGCTAACTCCTTTGAAAGTGTACCCACCGGCTGACAGGTCTCATCAAGAAATTCTCCCCCCCCCGCCCTTACTCTCTGTCTTCCTCCTAAATGATAGAAATACAACACACTGAACAGTTTGTTCCTCTGCTCACTCTGTAGCACGCAGGTCCGTGAGGTAGCATGCATTTAATTTTACCACTTACACACCATCTGGATACTCAGCAGCTGTTCTGGCCTTTTGGGGGGATACTTTTTTATTTGTACATATGCATGTCAGAACAGTGCCTTCCTCAAAACGGCCCAGAAGAAAGGTGTCTGAGCCCTCCAGAGAGAGATTACTGCCCCCATCCCAGCTGACATGATTCCTGGGCACTAGAACCTGATCCCACATTTTCTTTTGCACCTCTAATTCCTGACCAGTTCATTGTCATTAATCCTGTGACTTTCAATCTGCTTCTCTTCACTCACAGAACCATGCAGATCATGCCTATGTGCTTTTGAGTTCTTTGTGTCTGCACTCTGACATCCCCAAAAGAGCACAGTCCCAGAACAAGTCAAAGACACCATGTGGCTCGTGTCACTGTCCACATCACAGGGAATAATTTTAGCATTACGATGCATACACTGGTCCTCTTCCTCCCATAATGTAACAAACCTTGCAGTCCCGTGCTGCCATTACTCTAGCTTTTCACTGATCTTGCACCTTCTCTGCCAGTTTCAACTATTCCATGGGAAAGGGGGTGGGAGACGTATCCTCTGTTCTCCCACAGAAGCAGTGAAAATCAATATACCTGAGAAGGGCAGCATGGACAATCCCAATGGACAGGGCAGTGCTAAACAGCAATTCTATATCCATGTGCAAAAGATAGTGTCATGATTATAACCCCACATGAAAAGTTGGATCCAAAAACCACTGTGCCTTCAGCCTTGGGACTGTCTGAAAAACACTCTTCCTGATCAAATGCAGGCAAGCCCACAGCTTCTCACTTGAAGTTTTGCCTAAGAAGAGTGAATCTTCCTTGCACTATGTGGCTGCCAGGATCTCAGTGTCAGCTCTCCCACCTGAATCAGAGCATGAGATTTGCCATTCTACAACCTGGCTCTGCAAAAATCCACTACCGTGTTAGTCAGGTCACATTCCCCAGGACCCCTGTAGCTCAGTTCACAACCTTACTTGCAGCAGCAACTATAGCATACAGAAATTTTGCATGAAACTACACTAATACTGTGGTTGGACTCGCTTTTAAACCTTAATGTTTTGGGTGAGCTCTGGTGGACTCAACTATTAGAAGGAAAGCTAAAATAGCACCAAGATATTGAAACAGTGAACCTTCAGACTGCAAAGAATGCCAAAAAAACAAACAGTTCAGTGGGGAAAGAAACATATATTTAAAGGTTACTTCCTAATTTTAACTTGAGAGATTAAAAAAACTGAGAGTGAAACAGTTCAATTGAAAGCACACTGCTCTATATAACAAGACCAGAGTAGAGATCACAAACCATTTTCCGGTAAGGACAGAGCAGAAAATGTCATCTTAAATGAGAAAACAATTTCATTATCGAGTGAAAACTATGGGGCTAGAATAGATATCATTACTTAAACTTAACTGCTATTGCAATAATAAAGCACCTTAACAAAGAGTTCTCTTCTTTTGATCAGAAGATTTATATTCTGCTAGAACCCACCAGACTGTTATAAAATGCTCTATGAAAGATCCTGTATGAATACCTTACAGTACATCATTTCCTTCTTCCCTATAAATTCTGACATTCTACAGTAGAGACAGCTTTCTCATAACACACAGCACAGACTGTATTCCTAGTTATACATGAAATCTTGAGTAGATGTTTAATTCAACTCCAGTGCCCAGGCAACCTTCCAGGTAGAGCGTAGAGGTAGTTCCCAAATTCTTGCCTTTAGAAGCAGAACCTGGGAGTAGGGATAAGATTTTAAATCTTGCCTACAGCAAACAAGATGCATTCATAAAGCATTAAGACTTACGAAACGGAATATGTTGGTTTTGAGACAGGGGGATATGGACAATAGATATGTGCTGGACTCCATCTTTAGGAAGTCAAGAGCAGTCAGAGGCACAAAAAGGAACCTTTGATGTAATTCAATTTTCAGTAGCTGCACAAGTTTACCTTGAAAAGTGATTATGGATAACTGTCAGGTATACTGGATAGGACAATCCTTACTTACCCAGCAGTCCTGCTCCAGCCACACAGAATTCCCTTATCTGCTCTCCTTCCTGAAATAAATGTAAGATTTGTATCCCATCGGCCATGCAGAACCCACACAGCTCTTAAAAAGTGAGCTGAATCACTTTCTGACTCAAATGTCAACTTAATTGTTGACTAAATATAATTCTGAAAGCCCCTGTATAATCTCAATGTCTTAAAAACCAGCCTCAATTGGCAAAGTGAGCATAACTGATTCATAATTTACTAATGCACAATAAAACAAGAGTTACACTGAATTTCTGTAGGAAGAGAACTAATTTTTGCATGAATTGAGTTTTGCATAATGACTAGCCTAAAATAAATTATTTAAATATAACTAAGTATACAGATATATCCCATATATAGAGACAACTGCACAAGAAACTTAAATAGTGAATTTGTACTTTTTAAGGACTTAAATGGCACTTACTCAGAAAATAATGATATGCAAAGGGTTCATTGTTCCATACATGCGCTGCTTACCTGCCAAAGCTTTACTCAGTCAAATAGAATAGTGGCTTTGCCTAGCCTTCCGCTGAATACAACTGTGAGTGCGCGTAAAATTCATATGTTTCTCTCTCCTCTGCTCTAAAGTGTGTGCATGGAGAATATATTTATTTATCTATATAGGGAGTTTTCTTTTTTTACTTTAAAAATCAATTAGCCTCCCAGTATAAGTTACAGCATCAGAGCACAAAAGCAATCTTGGAGTTTCCAAACATGTAGCTAGAGCCAGGGTTCTGTGCATACCCAGGCAAGGACAGAGCTCTGCTGAATGCCTGGGCTTCACACAAACCAGCACTAGCACTTTGAACTTGTTTTAAGTGACCTTGCAGAACATGGAAAATACATAAACTTCCTTGATTATGATAAAACAGGCACATACAAATGCTCCTTCCTTCTCACCAGCAAAAAACTTACACAGGCACCCAGCAGCAATTATCTTGCAAGTCGCTACTGCTACTAGATCCTGTTTTGACCAGGTTGGTTCCATTTTCTGTTTTGCACTCAGAAGGAACATCTCCCCAAGTGCCACAGCTATTTAAACTGTAATAATAGACTCAAAATAAATGAAGAAGCTAAGCAGAGAAAGCCATTTGTGTTTCCATACTGGAGACAGGATTGTGTAAAGGAGGCTGGCACCTCGCCCTCAGACTGAGCGCATTGCAGAGCCCATTTTGGCTCAACTCAGCTCAGCAAACTGCAGCAGCCTTGCTGGGTCCAATGCCTAGCGAGAGAGCAGGCTGCACATTCAATGTCTCAGCAAACATCCACATTGCCGAAAAAACAGAAAGATTAAGAAAAAATTCACATGAAACTTCCCTGTGACCATCCTTCAACCAGCCCCCGCATGTCCTCCTAAAAATCTCTGGTCTTCTTTCTTGGATGTGTTCCCACCAGCCACATTCTTCCCCCTGCTCCAATCCCACCACTGTTTCTAGCCTTCCTTACTGAACAGCACATTAGGAAAAAAAATAAGAACTCCGAGTGAATTAACTGCTTTTTCCTTACTTAACTGATTCTGCAGGACTAATTAATTTGAGCACATTTTCAGTAAGTTAATTTATCCTTTTCCATTTCTCCTGTTCTGATTACCAAGCCATTTCTTAGTAGCTCAGAGTTTACAGACTCAGAATAAGGATGGAAAGTTTCAAAACCTACTGTAATCTTGGTGTTTCCAACATAACATACAAATCTTAAGGAGGTCAGAAGCACTGTCACTTGGGCAGGATAAATCAGATTTGTAAGAACAAAATACAGTGGAAGAAATTTCTCCTTTGCTCTGCTGTGCAAAAGACTTAGTGCTCTCATTCAAAGTGTAACCAAGGTTCGTGACATAAAACATCATGTTATGTTGGTAGGCCCACTTATTACCATATGTATGCCAATCCAAATTGCATGGTTTGGAAGGAAACCTTTTACAAAGCTAAACGATGGTTGATTTTGAAATTAATTTAACTTCATCAGCAACTGGGCAGAAGCCAGTATTCCTCAATCAGGCACAGGAATGGTAGAAGCGTCAGTTTAAGGATTCAGAAGTCATTTTATTGTCCTCTTTGTACAATCTGTAGTCACGCACAAGGATAGCACATTTATGTGTGTTATATACTGACACCCAAGAAAAATCTATCCAGAACCTGTTGGGTTTTTGGCAATTGGGAAGTATTTTCTACTCTGACATATGACACAGCTGTCAAAGACCACGGTCTGAAAAACCAATTAATTCCTTCTTCCAAAATCCAAGCAATTAGAGACTGGTTTATATTCCTAAGAAGTTACCTTTCTGACAGGTATGATTTTGGGGTCTTATTTAGAGAACATAAAAAAATGCTAATGGAAGATTTCTGTCAGAAAATACACACTCATCAAAAAAATCACGATGGAAAAGTGTCAACTGATGAAAAATGACAGGAAGTTTAAATCATTTTTCATCTTTCTCAATGAACAGAGACCAACACAAACACCTCAAAAAATAGCAACAAAATCAAACCCCAATGTTTTAATATT